GTAGATCTGAGCGTTTTGTCGAGTTCTCTATAATATTTATGTTTAAGTCGCCGCCCATAACTAATGTGTACTCTTCGTTGTTCATAAACGTGAAGAAGTTCTCTAGATACTGAAAACAATTGCTAATATTTCCATTTGGTGGTCTGTATACTACAGAGAACACAAAATTTCCACAATTTTATGAAATTATTTCAATATCAATACCACCACACTTCCGTTTTCTTCGCAGTCTTTGATGCTTGCCCACACGACGTCATCCTTGGAATTGATTTCTTAACCGCCCACTCCGCCCTCATCGATTGTTTGACAGGTATCTTACGGCTCGAATTGCCTTTGTGCACCGATTTCACTCGGCTACGATCTGTGCCGTCTCTACATCTACCGCCCCAGGCTGCTACGTACATTCCTGTGTCGCCCTTTTCGTTCGTTCCTGATGGAGACTATCTGGTGGCTCCCCTCATTGATTTGACCCTTAGGCACCACATCGCACTATCACATACTATAGTGGTAGTTGCTAACAACAAGACGCTACTTCCAGTTCTGAACTTATCTACGTCGACCCAAGTTCTTCCCTAAGACATCAGTTTAGTCGATCTTTCCAACCTTGATGAATGTTCGATTTGTTCTTTTACCCTTGACACTAAGACCATGGCGAAACCTGTCATCACCCCACAATATAAGGCGTTCCTCAAAAAAATTATATCCAGCGACGTCTTACCTTCCCAAGTTGCAGCGCTCCGGGGTGTTCTATTTTCTTACCTGTGTATTTTTGACGTCGATGACCGTCCCCTTGGCCGCACAAGTACCTTAACCCACCACATCGACACCGGCGACGCCAGTTCACTCCGCAAACACCCTTATCGCGTGTCAAATGTAGTGCACCAAGTTATACAGATGGAGGTCAAGAAAATCCTGAGCAAATACGTCATTGAGCCTTCATTGAGTCCTTGAGCCTCCCCTGTGGTCTTAGTTAAAAGAAGGACAACACCTGGCGCTTTTGCGTCGACTATCGCCACCATAATCGGATCACCAAGAAGGACGTTTGTCCTTTAATATGAATCGATGATGCACTAGACTGCCTCCATGGCGCCAACTATTTCTCGTCCCTCGACCTTTGATCAAGATTGTGGCCAATTTCGGTAGACGCCCACGACCGCGAGAACACAGAATTCATCACACCCGACGGCCTTTACCAATTCAAGGTCATGCCTTCTGGGTTGTGCAATGCCCCGGCTACTTTTGAACATGTGATGGACTCTCTTCGCCACGGTTTCAAATGGTCGACCTGCCTTTGCTATCTGGACGATGTTATCGTTTTGTCGCCCTCTTTAGAAAGCCACCTGTTTCATCTCTCGGCAATTCTTGACGTTTTTCGTTGCGCTGGTCTCCAACTGAATTTTTCGAAATGCTCATTTGAACGCCGGCAGATTTAACTACTCGGCCACCTTGTTGATGCCACTGATGTTCAACCCGACCCTGACAAAGTCCGTGCAGTCCGGGAATTCCTAGGTCCGCGTTCCACACAAGAAGTTCGCAGTTTTATTGGGCTCTGCTCATACTTCCACCACTTTCCCTTCAACATCGCGAATATTGCTAGGCCTCTCACGGATTTCATCAAAAAGAACGTGGCCTTTCTTGGGGGAAGGACCAAGAACATTCCTTCGCGTCTTTGATTGCCGCCCTCACAACACCACCTGTGTTAGCTCATTTTGATCCAGCGGCTCGAACCGAGCTTCGCATCGACGCAAGCGGCCATGGAATTGGTGTTATACTCGCTCAGATACAGAATGGCACCAAACGTGTGATAGCCTATGCTAGTCGCCCTCTGTCGGAAGCGGAAAAAGTTATTCCATCACATAGTGGGAATGCTTAGCCCTTATTTGGGCCATTGCGAAATTCTGTCCGTACTTATACGGACGTCCGTTCGCAGTCATCACGAACCATCATGCGCTTTGCTGGCTGTCGAAGCTCAAGAACCCTACAGGAAGACTCGGCCAATGGGCACTTCAATTACAGGAGTACACGTTTTCGGTTGTGTACAAATCTTGAAAGCTGCACAGCGATGCTGACTGCTTATTGCGGAATCCCGTTGATCGACCTAACTCCACTGATTTGGAATTTGAGGCCTGCGTTTTATCCATCACTGACTTTTTGAACGTGGCTGACGAACAGCGCCGAGATCCATCGCTTCTCACCATCATTGACCACTTTCGATCGCGTCATACTGATGCTTCCCTTGATTCCTGCTTCAAGACAACGTTTTGTACCGCCACAACTTAAACCCAGACGGCGATGAACTATTCGCAGGTGATGTGGTACTCGTCGTACCACATCACCTGCGAAAGGATGGTCTGTGAAAATTCCACGACGCTCTAACTTCTGGACATCTAGGAGTCTCCAGAACTTACGACCGCGTTCGACAACGAGTGTTCTGGAAGGGGCTCTACCGCTCCGTTCGCTGTTACGTCACGTCATGCGACCTTTGCCTAGCTCCGAAAGAAGCGTGCGATTCCCCCCACTGGTCTTCTACAACCTGTTGAAGTTCCAGCTGAGCCGTTTGAACGAGTAGGTTGGACTTGCTAGGTCCCTTTCCTACTTCTACAACTGGAAATAAACGGATTGCAGTGGCCACAGGTTATGCCACTCGGTATGCAATCACTCGAGCGCTATCAATCAGCTGCGCAACAGACGTGGGAGGAAGAAGACGACGAAGCAGTTGCTGCTTGACTAAGTAGCTCTGTCTGCATTTACCGTTATTTTTGTTTATATTACGGCTCAGCACTGCTCAAGACGTCGAATGACTCAAAAAAGTACCTGCCGTATCGGCCACTGACGGGTGCTGCGCCGCCCGCCGCGTCGAAAGTTGCTAGAAGAACCGAAACAAGCTACAGTGGGAGCGCCGCCATGACCTCCCAAGGTGTGACACCAGGTCAGAAGCACTAGCTGGTTTGTGCAAGCATACTAGACTGCAAGCGACAACACAGCGCTAAATCGGAGGACGAATCAACTGTCATCGGGGAGCACAACGTGGCGAATTTCACAGATCTAGACATGAACGAGGGTGGTTTCCGTTTGGTGCGACATCGCAGACAGGACGGTGGGCATTCCTGTGTTAATTGCCCCAACATCCGAAGGAGCTAACTTGAAATAAGTGAACCCTATCGACCTATACTCTGAAATCGAAACGATTCTCGGTACAGTCCCAGTTAAAAGCCATTTCACAGCACAGGGAGCCCTGCTCTTGGATATAGAGACAGAAAACTAAACTAATGTGCTTCTAGAGACCACCACTATTTGCGGCCTTGCCATATCTGCCCGTGTACCACACAGCTACATAAAAAATACATGCAATATAAAAGGAGTCACAAGATGGCACTCGGACTAAGAGCTGTTGACCTACCTAAGACCTCAGGGAGTATACCGCGCAAGAATAATCATACGACAGGTCCAAACCTCATCCTCCGAGTGGGAATCAAGGCGCACTGACTCTGTGGTTCTCACATTCGCTCCCAATTCGGAACGTCCAGAGAAGATCAACCTTGGCTTCACCAGACACGAGCTTGTAGACTACGTGGAGACGCCGCCAGGCTGTTTTAAATGTCAGCGTTTTGGACATGTTGCTAAGCACTGCCGTGGGGAACAGAGCTGTAAGCGCTGGGGGGGGGGGGGGGGCCATGACTTTAAGACATGTACAAGTAAAGAAAAACGTGTGTGCAAACTGGGCAGTGACCACCCAGCTAGCTACGGTCGATGTCCTGCATGAACAGCTGCGCAGCGAAGAAATAAGACGTTTGTCCTCGGCCCGAAGACTATGAACGAACCATCTCTCACAAAGAAGACGTCCAGCGCGCCACAACATGGTGGTTTGGACAATGAGTACTCTGGAAATTTTCCGCGCCTAAATCCGACAAGAGCTGGTACTGAGTCAACGCAAGTGCTCAACGTTGGTGAGAAATGTATGACGAAAGAGTCCGCCCAGCTCACCTATGCTGATGCACTAAGCCCACCTCTAGTATCACCTGGAAGCAAACAGAAAGAAACCCTCCAGCACGTTATGCCCGCTCTGTGCACCGCACTACGTTCACACGTCGCTAAGATGTCTGCGAGTTCAACGAAGGACATGTTGAAAGCAGTCCTGGCTATAGAGTCAGTGTTACTTTGCTCTGATTCCACATACACACCGTAGAATAATGACAATGTCTCGCCACCTGGTCTATTTCGTTCTTCAAAAGTGCCATAATAATGCAGTGGAACTGCGCCGGTCTTCTGAAACATCTGTGTGAAATCAACCTTTTCCTGCGCGACATTCCAATACGAATTCTAGCCTTCTCAGAAGCCGGTCTCACGAATGAAAGGACGCTCCCAGGGTACACCCGGCACGGCAACCCAAGCAAAAAGTCATTTGCAAATGGAAGTGCAATGATATACATAGGGCGGGAAGCATTTCACGTCACCTTACCAGTGCAAGACCTCTGTTCCAACTCACTGGAAGTCGCTGCTGTACAAGTGTGCTTAGTAAACCGAAAACTGAGTGTGGTATCGGTGTAGAGGAGCCCACAAAAGAAGGCCTCCATGGAGGCTTTCCTAAAACACCTTTGCACTCAATGTCCCACTCCAATAATCTGTGGTGATTTTAACGCGCACCATTCACTCTGGGGAAATAAGAGTGTAAGTGTTTGAGGCAATGAACTTCTAGCAACTGCGGGTGCTGCCGACGTATGTGTAACAAACGATGGCAAACCTACATTTTTCAGGCCACCAGATTCATGGAGTGAAATAGACCTTGTACTTCACTGGACCGACATCGGGAAACTCATCAATGGATTTTCAACGCCTACCCACGAACACTGGACATACCTGGACATCGGGCACCGGATGACGTTGGCGGTCACTTCCCAGCGAACAGCGCAACATCGTCCGAGACTATGACGTCACGGAGCTGCTACTTAAGAGACTGTCTTGGCGAGGAATCCTTCAGTGGGCGCGGCGGAAATGCCAAAATGCATCGCTCAAACCCCTCCTTGCTTGCCGTTCAAGTGAGAAAGCGATTTGGCAAATGCTTTCGTAGCAGTAATGCATGCCTGGTTTTGCTGCCGTGCCCACACCTTCTGCTTGAATGGTTCTGTGATTTATTGTCTTCCTTGCGTTTGTTGCTGCTGCTGGGGGGGGGGGAGGACGTCGAGACTAATCCTGGGCCTTGTGACACTGTGCGTGAAGAACAGCTCAAAGTAATTGCAAAGGATATCCAGGAGATAAAGAACGAAAAAATGGTGACCAATCAAAAGCTTGCAGCTATAGATAAAAAGTTAGAAAAAATAGGCAAAATGGAAAAGCAGGTACTTGAATGCGTGGAAAGGGTTGATAAACTTGAAAATATGGTTGTATATATGTCTAAAAAATTGACGAGTTAGATAACAGAGGCCATAGGTTTAACCTTGTTGTGTATGGTGTCATGGAACTTCAAACTGAAACGCACGAGGATCTGCTTGACACTGTTGAAAAAGGAATCTTTAAAGATAAGATTGGAATAAAAACGGCTGGCATAGAAAGAATTCATTGTCTTGGGCGACAGAATGCTACTGGCAGTCCTAAAAACAGACCTGTAGGCTTAAAGTTACTTGACTATCGGGATAAAGACAATATACTTAAAAATCGCAACAAGCTAAAAGAAACGGAATACTCAATTAGCGAGGATTTCTCGCCCGTAGTCAGAGAAATTAGAAGAAAGCTCTGGGAAAGAACAAAGGAACATCGAGACCAGAAAGACAAAGTTTTCTTGTCTTACGATAAAGTCAGAAATACTAATCGCCTGTACACCTGGGATGACCAGAGTAACGACATAGTGGAAGTCGCGAAAAACGGAAGCAGGGACAACGAACAAGCCGGGCGACCTCAAAACCGCCCTCGATGCTAGTTGTGCTTAACTTTAATGCGCACAGCCTTATCAATTAAATCAAACACATTGAAGCAAACCTGATTGCACTCAAACCCGACATTACTTGTGTGACTGAGACTTGGTTACATTATGATATTGAAAACTGTGAGGTGGCTCCACCGAGCTATCTCATCATCCGAAAAGACAGACCAGCTAGAGGCGGTGGTGTCGCCTTGCTCCTAAAACAAGGAATAAGTTACACAGTGATGCCAAACGTTTCGGGTGTAGAGGCGGTCTGGTGTAGGATTCAGCTAGGCCAGAATAAAGTCTGTGTTGGTGCGGTATATAGAGCCCCCCAAGCCGGAGCGTCATATCTTGATCAACTTCTAGAGTATATGCAAGATTACATGGCGGGGAGCGGCATGATAATGGGAGGAGATTTCCATCTCCCCGATACTAATTGGAACTCTCTATGCCCATCAAGTGTAACAAACAATATATTGCTAAGTCTTCTGTTCACTTTAAACCCTACCCAAGTTGTTTCTCAGCCTACTCGTGTGCGGGGCACTTCAAGCTCCATCTTAGACCTCGTTTTTTTTAGTGATTTCTTTTTGAAAGAGAAATACAACGTCAAAGTCCTTGAAGGAATATCTTACCATGATATTGTTTTGTGTACGCTAACACTTCCAGAAAAGGTTGCTCAACGTGGTACTAGAAAGTCCGTGTACGCTTTAACAGAGCAGATGACGATGCCATTATGACCTACCTAGTCCATGAGTACTACAACTTCCATTAGCTGGTCTCAGACGGCTCGGCTGGCTTAGACGAGATTTGGCTCTTGTTCAAAGCACACGTTATGCACTGCTTGAGGCAATATATCCCATAAATTCAAAAGAACACTAACAAGTAAAACCCATGGATCACGCGCGATGTAATTCACATAAAACGAAGAATAAAAAGACTGAGGAAACCTAATAGGGTCCTCCCGGACCCGGATTTTCACCAAAAAATAAATTCATTAAACAGGCTGCTAAAAGAAGAAACAAAGTTAGCAAGGCAGCACTACTGCAGTACAACGCTTAGCAACTTTATCCAACATTCACCCCAAAAATTCTGGCGATATATTAGATGTAAAGAAAGCAGTGCAAAACCACTGTCACACAAGGAAGAAAAGCAACAAGCAGAAACGTTTAACGTTTTTTTCCATTCCGTATATGCTCCTGACAATAGCATTGCGCATGCCTGCAAGCCTAAAATATAGAGAGAAACGAGACGCTAAGTGCACCAGTCATAACCGAAGCAGGCGTGCTTTCACTCGTATTGAAGTTAGACAATAAGAAGTCCACCAGCCCAGGCGGAATTCCAAACTGCTTCCTGAAACGCAACGCCACACCCGTAAGCAAATACTTGTGTCTTCTTTACAACAAGTCAGTTTCAGAACAATGCCTGCCAGCCGAATGGAAAATGGCAAAAATAGTGCCTGTCTACAAATCTGGTAATCCTTCTTCTCCGTCTAATTATAGGCCTATTTCTCTCACATGTACTTGCTGCAAAATTTTATAGCATATTATACTAAAATCTATTACCCAGTTCTTCGAGGAAAACAATGTTCTCCATTCCCATCAACATGGCTTCAGGGCTGGTCTCTCTACCGTTACCCAACTTGTAGAAATACTGCATGATCTCGCTAAAGGAATAAACGATCAGACACAAATAGACATAATTCTACTAGACTTTTCAAAGGCATTTGACCGCGTCTGCCATGCCTAACTTCTTCAAAAACTCAGACATATTCTAGGGGATGGACCAATCTTCCGCTGTATTAAGTGCTATTTAACTGACCGCCGCCAATTTGTCCAGTTGGGCGCCAGCACTTCTCTAGTTATGCCGGTGCTTTCTGGAGTACCTCAGGGTTCAGTTTTGGCTCCTATCCTGTTTCTTTTTTTTATAAACGACATAACTTGTAGGGTTCTATCTAAAGTTAGGTTATTTGCAGATGACTGCGTCCTGTATAAAGAAATACAAAGCCAGTAAGATCAAATAAGTTTGAACAATGATTTCACCTTGTTATCACAATGGTGCGAGAGTTGGCAAATAGTCATCAACTTCGATTAAACAGTTGCAATGACAGTAACAAAAAAGAAATCCAAACTTACTTTCCCGTATGGCTATGATATCATCATCCTTAAAACAGTCACTCAGTACAAGTACTTGGGCGTCGTCATATCGTCAGATCTCGGATGGTCGACGCATGTAGATCACGTGACTGGCAAAGCGATGCGGAAGCTAATGTTTTTAAAGTGGGCCTTGCGATACTCGACGAGAGAAGCCAAGCTCTTGGCCTATGCGACAATTATACGCCCTATCTTAGAATATGCGAGCGTGGCATGGTTACAGTCTACCCAAAAACACATAGCCACTATTGAGGCCATCCAGCGCAATGCCGCGCGTTTTATCTGTAACAGATATAGGCGCACCAACTCGCCTACGCAAATGCTGACAGATATTGGCCTTCACACGTTAGCCAGTCATGCGATGCTATCCTGACTCAGATTTATGTACCTAATACTACACAAGAAAGTTAAAGTAGATTCGAACACCTACATTTTTTTCAACGCTTCTAGAGAAACCCGTCACAAGCATCACCTTACACTGCAAGAATATTTATGCACCAACAATACTTTTAGCTCTTCGTTTTTCCCGCGGGCAGTGCGAAAGCGGAATGCTTTACCCGAGACGGTGGTTGTGCAGCCACTGTCAACAAATTTTACGAACTTGCTGGCCAAGCTGTCCTATCAGCTACATGATAGCGACGCTATCAGGATTGTACTGATCATTGTCCTCCCTTCCATTACATTGTGGTTTAGAAAGGTGTAAGTCGGTACCAACTTTGTATGTTGCGTGCTTACCTCTTTCTTTCTTCTTCGTGTTTTTTTTTTCAGTATGTGCACATGTGACTGAGACACATACCTCGTTAATAATGTAGGTGGAAAATTGTTATCATTTTCTACCATGAATTTTTGTACCCATACAATTGTATAAGTATGTGAACATAGAATGTTTGTTGACACTTTCCAACCCCCTCCTGTAAAAATCTCTGACGGGATTGACAGTACTGTTAAATAAAAAATAAATAAACAAAAGGAAATCCATCTGCGAAAACCGAATATAACAGGATAAACGCTGCGATGCGTCGCCATACAAAAAATTAAGACGAATTCAATGGGCCGCTTTCTGTGAGAGTTTATCAACGTTTACGCCCTTGACAACGATATGGGCAGTAATAAATAGTCTTTCTGGGAAGATCCGCTCACAAAGGCCAATCGAAGAACTCGCTTTGAAACAAGGGAAATATTTGCAAACCCTTGCACAGGATTTCGCAGACGTGTACACATCTGGCAGATCAGCAGGAGTTGCGATTCTTCTGTCACCCCAGTTTTTTAACACGATGGTTACGCCATTCACCTTTCGAGAGCTGGATATGGCACTTAGCAAATTAATAAGATGCTGTTCCATGAGTCCCGATTTGATCAGAAATCAAATGCTGACAAATCTGCCATCTGAGCGAAAAAAGACCTCTTGGACATATTTATTCATGTCTGGAGCACGGGAGAGATACCAGTTGTTTGGAAGACAGCATGGATGGTGTAACTCCTAAAGTCCGGAAAGGATCCTGCGAGCCTTGCATCATATCGACCGGTATCTCTCGCATCATGCGTATTTAGGTTAATGGAAAGATTAATATGTACAAGATTAACTTGGTACCTTGAACAAGGAAGACGATGACCATCGTGTATGAAAGGGTTTCGCCCACGACTGAGTGCCCAGGACAGTGTTTTGGATCAATTAAGCCACATCGAGCACCACCACGTCAGCGGACTCTCGACACTCGCCGCCAAGGTATATGATTGTGTGCTTCAAGCAGGCATCGTGAACAGGCTCCAAGCCATGGGTGTGTCGGGAAAAGCTCTTCGGTTCGTACATGAATTTCTCAGAGACCACTGTTAAGAGACCGCTTCCTCAGAGACCGCTGTCCGGGTTAAGCTTGGAAATGTAACGAGCGAAGAGAGGCGCGTTTCCTTCGGTGTCCCTCAATGAAGTGTTCTATCCCCCTGCTTCTTAGCGCTGCCATGGCCAGCCTTCCTGACACTCTGCACTTAGCTCTGAAAGCAGTTTCAGAGCTAAGCTACGCCGATGACATCTGCATTTGGATCTCAGGGTACCAGCACGAACGATTGGCCTGGATAGCACAGAGCGCTATTTCAATAATTGAGCGTCACTTGTTGACACTTGGCCTATTTTTATCAGCGAAAAAAAATCGGCCTTCATGCTATTCCCGGGAGTGAGACGGAAGTCAACACGTCTGTCGCTCAATAATTGAGGCCACCCAATTCGTTGTGCAACATGTGTTCGTTTCCTGGGCATTACCA